TCTGCTGTGAAGAAAGGCTGAGAGAGTTGGGGTTGTTCAGCCTGGAGAAGAGAAGGCTTCGGGGAGACCTTCTTGCAGCCTATCAGTACTTAAAGGGGCTTATAAAAAAGATGGGGGCAAACTTTTTAGCAGGGCCTGTTGCGACAGGACAAGGGGGAATGGCTTTAAACTAAAGGGGGGGAGATTTAGACTAGATCTAAGGAAGAAATGTTTTACGCCTTCCAACCCAAGCTGTTCTATGATTCTACGATCTTTCAATGTGCTGGGTTGACTGTTGGCTGAGCCAGGTGTAAGGTTTGTCAGACTGCTGTGGTTGCAGCAGAGCCATTGGGAATTGCCGTCACTCCCTGCCAAACTGCTGGTTTCAGTGTTCATCCACTGGGTCTGTAAAAGGATCTGTGTTAAAGCTGCTGCACTGAGCTCAGTTGCATGTCTGGCCAAAACCAGTGCATCTGCTTGAAAGGATGATGGGCAGAGGCTGATGCTGGTCGGAGTGGAGTCTGTGGTTTGGGTGAGGTTTCTATTCAACTTGCCTTTTGAGTTGCTGAAGACTCTTTCTCAGTGTCATAAACAATTGCATGAATACAGATGTGATGACTGGTGCTGTTTAATGTCTATTCTTATTAAATCTTACAACCGTAATGTTGAAGTGGGACTAAAACTTTCTCTAAAGAAAGGGAAACAGCTCTGTATTTCTTTTAGATCTGTTTTCCCGCCTTCCTTCCTCCATTTTCCATGGCCTTCTCTGCTTTGAAGAAATGTTAGGAGATCATCTCTGATCTCGTTTGCAAGACTTGCATGAGATCTTGGGAGCTTGTCCACTCGGACAAAGTGTGTTAGTTATAGAGTATAGTAAACTTGGTAAGTGTTTCAAGATGAGAAGTTTAGCAGCAGTAAATGTGGAACTGTTTTCAACTTCATTATTCCTAGATAATGACACAAACTAAACTCAGAAAGGTCCCTTCTGGCTGGAGTTTGCACTTGAGATTGTGTTAGTAAAACCACTTGCTTAAATTGGACGATCTGTAGTTGTAGATGTGCATTGTGATTTTTTTTCTTTTTAATTTATTTTTCACTTTTTAACCCAAGACAAAGGAATCTGTTAATTGAGCAATTTTGGTCATTTATAGGGGCATTTTCATGAAGACCTATAGGACAAGGGGTTTCTCCGTGTATTCTGCTAGCACTGAAACTGTCCAAAACCATCAATGAAGAATATAACTTCTTCGGAGAAAATCATTATGCCAGAATAAACATGAATTCACTTTTCCGGTATAATGTGCTTATGTTGATAAAGCATATTCTTACTATACAGGAACACAGTTTACTGGAAGAGCTAGATCAGCCCAAGGGCTTTCTACTGTGATAATTCTGCGTGTAGCGAAAGGTGAAAATTTATAGGGGATGTTTATGGATGAGCCGACTGTCTTGGGCTATTTTTATACTTTGCAGATAAGAAATGAAAATAAAGAGAAGTCTTCCTCCTGTATGCTCTTTCTTCTTTTACGTGTGCACTGAGAGACAGGAGCAGATTTTAGTTCAGTTGCTTCCGTGTTTTCTAGGCCAAGATTTATCAATAGAATTACTTACCTGACATTTCTGAATTTAAGCTGGGTGACTGTTTATTGGTGCTGTTGGTTTCTGTTGGATTTGGGCTGTCCCAGTCCAGGCCCTGAGCGAACGCCGTAGACTGGAGGAAGCACAACCCCCGACCTGTTCTGCATGGCTTGCGATGTTCAGGGCGTTTGCGTAGCATCGGCATGTTGTTACGAAACATGACCAAGGTAACGTTCAGCTTCTAGGCCACTGTCTGTTCGATCCCAAATGTTGTGATTACTTTTATGTTGGCTGTTTCTCCTTTTTGATATTGTAACTGGAATGTTTTGTTTTTCTTTGATTAGCCTCTTGTGTGACACCTAGATATGGGGTAAACTTTTTGCATTCTGAAAATAGAAGCTTTTCCTAGTAAAATAGGGAGTGTTCCTTCATACCTTTAATATAACAGACTTCAGAAATGTTTGCCTTTCTTTCTGTCCCTCTTAGTCATGAGACGTTTATCCAGGTATCTAAAGGGCTGTTTCTTGCAATGAGAACTTCTACAAGACTGGCTGATCCTAAGTATATAAACTGGTTATACAAGGGGAAATCTGTTTCCTCGTGCAAATATGAAAGCTGTGATACTGATGGAAAAAGCTTCCATTTGACTTATATCGTGTCCTTCCATGTCCTGAAGAAATAGAAATAATCCCAGACGTTTTCTGTCATCTGTCCATTAGTGTTTCTCTTCTTCCATTCCCTCCCTTCCCCTGCCCCCAATCCTCTGCTTTCTGTTGCCTGTCCGTACCCTTTGCTATAGAATTTCCCCCTGGTAACTCTATAGAAGTGACATTTCTGCAGTAGAAGACAAGGGAAATTATTTGAGAGTGAGTGAGCCTTTACACTTCTAACTCTGGAAGGTCCCTAGATACTAGACACCTAATTAAAAGGTCAAAGCCACTTAAAGAAACAAATGTCTAAATATAACCTCAACTTTGTGCAGATGGACTCTGGTAACTAAGGCTTCACAAGATGGATACAACAATATATATAGGAACTCCTGTAAATTCCCTAAAATAGAATTTTTTGTAGCATGGTGTGTATCCATGCAGCTCCAAGGGCTTTATTAGCATAAATTTGGAATGGCTTGCTAAACTCACTTGTGCTTTTGTTGCTCCTGACTAAACTCCCAAATTAAAGTCAACAAACATCTGTGCCTCACAGTCTAGTGTATACTTGTAATGCACAAGTTTTAATGTGTTTTGTGCATATGTGTTTTGTTTTTCAGTTCATGAAAAGGTCTGCATATTCAGGCCTCTCTCTTTTTTTTTTTAATGTGCTGTGAGGTGGTTTTTTTTCCTACGCTGATATCCACTCCTACTGTTTATTTGATGCTTTATTTTAGAAAGCCATTCACTGTGCTAGAATCTTACTGCCCATATGGAGATGTGAGCATGTACCAGCTGCTAGGTCGATGTAATCAGCTGTTCATTGTGGAACTTGCAGTCAAGTACCTACTGCATACCAATAATCCTCAAGGGTATCAGCTACACAATTCCTGATTTCAGGAAATGACAAAGAAATAAGTAGAATGACAGTTCCTTCATGTAAATCTTCTGCTAGTCCATAGAAACTTGAAAAATGTATTTCCTTAAGCCTTATTTTTTCTTAGAGGGTTCATTTTGATGGGTTTAATGGCCTGGATGGCAATCAAAGACTCCTTTCCTAGCATGCTTGCCGCCTATATTCTTAAAAAGATTGTGATTCCTGTAATCTTCTGACAAACAGCACATCTGATGTCTCTTTGAAAACATCTTTTCTTTTTATTTCAGGACAAACACCATGATGCTGCTCACGAAATTATTGAGACAATTCGGTAAGTGTTCAATGCAGACGTGGCTAGAACCCTTTCCTGTGTCTTACTGCATCTCAGTGAACAGGTGTCTTGAGACAAGATATAAAGGAGGGCAGCAGTTATAATTTAGCAGCTCTAAATTATTTTCTCAGCTGAACTGATATTGTTGCAATACAAATCTCCCCGTCAAACAGACTTTGTTTTAACTTGCCATATTCTATTCTCTTTTGAACAGAATTAAAAATGAGTAGTGATATTCAACCTTGGTGCTTATGGCAGTCTGTATTTGATATTTAGAAAAGCAAGGTTAAGAAAACATCATTGGCATGATGTGTTAAGTTCTGGTCTTGCATATCCTCTTCCCCACCCTCTCCCTTTCCCCTTGTTGCTGTGATGTTGCAGCATTGTTAGCATTTGCATTATTTGGGAATGATGTCCCTATTAGCATTCCTCTTAATTCTGCTGATAAAGGTGGATCAATGTGGGGAAAATGGGAGGATAAAGGTGAAAGACAAATATGAAGAGTAGGAAGTCTGAGCATTTCCCAACACGGGCAGTGGTTATGACATGGCTTGCTG